CGTTGGTGTTTATCTCGTCACGGTTCTCGGCTTCGCTGGTAATGCCGTCAGACTGGGGTACCTCAGAGGGTGATGGGCACTCTGATTGTTTGTGTCCGGATTGGTTACACAACCGGCATTTCCAGTCATTTGGACATTGACGAAATGTGTGGCCATCTTGGAGACATTTCGAACAAGTCATGTTGTCTGAAACTACCTGTCCATAGTAGGATACCCTGGCTTTGTATCTGCCAATTTGTACAAATTTTGGGATGTGATTTGTAAGCGTGCGTGAAAGAATCAATAAAGTTCTATCACCCGTTTCACAGTTCGTGAGTTTTCCGTTAATACGGAGCTTCTCTCGGGTGATATTACCTATCGTCTCCAGACCTTTCAAAATAAAGAACCGGTCAATCTGTCCATCGTCCGCAGACAGAGGGATGTCTTTTACTCTGACCTTTGTGGTGTTTTCGTTATCAAAACGGTTTGGGTTGGTTTTAAGGACGCCCATGGTGTGCCCCCTTAGCGGGAAACCCGATGAAAGGAGTTCACATTTATCATCTAGGTTGTCAACGTAGATGCGCCATAACCCTCTAATTCTTTGCAGTCCAATGATATGGGTGGGATCTATAACTTCAGCGAGAGCAGTATACATTTCGGGATGGGTTATGAATTCAGAGGGATTCGGTCTCCGTTCCCCGAAAAAGTCACGTTCTCTAAAGAACGCTAATGGCGGTTCCGTGAACAGCTCGCTGATAGGTTCAAATCTGGCGTTATTTTCAAAGTTCGACATTTTGTACTCACAGTTTCGTGTCTTAGTCCTTGATAGTTAGCACACAAAACACATTTGCTGCAACGGTGATGAATAATTCTATGTTTCGATGTAAATCTTCAAATATTTTGAGAGCCGAGTAGAAAAACCGCCTTGGCAGTTTCGCGCATGCTCAGAGGCATCAAATTATTTTTCTTTTCTCTTCATAATATGCATGTATACATACATTTTATATGTCTTTTCAATATCAAAATAAACGGATAGAATTTATACCATTAGATTCAATCATAATAAAAATGAGTATTTGTAGTTGATTCCCCTAATTTGATTATTAATTTGATAAAACCAACTTGTTTATATGTGTTTGTATGTGTTCTAATGTCTATTTCTAAGCTTGTACCACTGTCTGTTACTATGTTTGGAAAGGGCTTAAATAGGCTATGCCTGCTGCCCAAACCATTTGTCCTTTGACAATAAAATTTATTGAAATACCAAGAAATACCCTGCCGAAATCCACGAAAGCTCTGAAAGTTGACTAATAGAATCTTCCATTCCCTTGGGAGTGTAATTTCTTCCATCCCTTTTTTACCATGGACATCTCTATTTTGCACACACGGAAATGAAAGAATCACAGAATTTCTCAACCCCTTGGGGGTAAGATAGGGGAATATCAACCCGAGGGGAAAGATTTTAAAGTTGCCAAACACGAGACTTTGCAGAGACAAGAATTTCTTGCATTTCCTTGTGTGTACGTTAGAACCGTCCAGTGTACATGTAGGAAAATGTTGTAAGAATTTTGTATCGTACATTCCATTTCACGTGACGTGATGTCACAATGGCTCAACAATGACATGACGTCACGAATTTGGAAAACTCCGATGCTGCAATGCGAAAAAAGGCGACGTGATGGAATTTAATTTTTCAGATATATTTACCTATTTACACGTTAGAAAGATGAGATTCATATTTCTGCACAAGCTTTCTTTGCATATATTGGGTATGCTAAATCTCGTTGACCCTCGGCATTTTCAAATTTGGCAAAACCCACGGCACAGCCTCGTGTTTTACGTAAATGTAAAAAACACTCGAGTGGAATTTCCCTATCCTCCACCCATAGGCATGAAAGAGGCTATAATGTCACACCGTGAAAAGTGTGGATACATCTGGCCAGGGTATGATAATACATTGTCTTCAATTTTACTCGATCATATGCATTTCTCATTTTATAAGTCCATTATGTGTGTCTAATTGTTGTGTGCATTACTGGAGTCGTTGGATAAAGACTGAGCTGTAAAACTTAAATGTCGTTGAGGCCTGTGTTTTGTGCATTAACACTTTTACTACAAATATCCGGTATTATTTGAAGGACTTCTCACCCTTCGTAATACACATTTTCTTCTTGTCGTCATTTTGTGTCGTCATTTCCGTATTGCATTTCAGGCATTTCAATAGTGCAGTGTAAATTATAGTAACACTGGGTAAACAATAGTACACGTGCGTGATGGTGATATGTCAACACACAATGTTGAGACTTAACTGGTAAATGTGTAATCTCGCGTACTTTAGAAATAAAGATTCCGATACATAGAAGACAATGACATAAGACCAAACGACTTCACGGTGTTATCTGTTTCGATTTTTGCTGTCGAGAGAGTGACGGTCTGTCGAGTAAATCGTTTTTGTATGATGCAATCCACTGACTCTATTAAAATAGTGTTTTGTGAAAATATTAAGATCCCTAATAAATGCATGTGTAGATGCACGTGAGAACGGAATACCATGTGATAGCCTCTGGTGACATATGTATCTAACATGTAAATCTACCATAGCCAAAGTGAACGTAATGGGGAGTAACTTGGTTATATAAAAGAACAATAAATTGTCACTTTTGATATCATAATTTTAATTTATATCCATCAGTTTAAATATTTTAAAAAAGTGTCAGTGTGTAAATGTTATCTCTCAGGAAAAAGTTTCTATGTTTTTCAAAGAAGACAACTCTCACCATGATCAAAGTGATTGTAAAATGTAAAATTAATTAATTATAATTCCGTTGTGTATATTTTGTTCAATTTTCCACTTTTTTGTACGAAACTTTTTGTCCTTTTTGCTTTATCCCTTTTATCCGTACAATTTCAAAAAACACTATGCGTAACGTGTTTTATATACATTTATTTTAGTATATATAAATATTTGTAGGGTTAATAAGCCATTTAATGAAAATATTAAGAATAATATCTTGTATGATGATGATGTCTGATGATGATGATGATGTCTGATGATGATGTCTGATGATGATGATGATGATGATGATGATGATGATGAGGATGATGATGAGGGTGATGATCATGTACTTAGAAATCATGTACATATGAACAATGCCATATATGTTTTGTCTTGTACAAAAAAAGAAAATGAAAAAAAATATATATATATAAATAAAAAGGATTAAATACAGATATAAAGCGTCCGTTGTTAAATCTGATCTTGTGAAAATGACAGGATACTGTTTTGTCGATAATTTTAGCAGTTTTAATTGCACGTAAATATTTTTTCCTATACGTACGTGCTCTTGGATACATTCTGAGCTTCTTGATGAACATTCAAAGACTTTTCTTTTCTCAATAAACCACTCTTTCTTTACGTGAAAAGAAGAAGAAAAAAAAGAACCAAAGTATACACTTTACACACTTTATGTCACTTCTTACTGAAAGAAGGTTAGGTCTCGGTTTCCGGTTGCCAAAGCCACATTAGAAGGGATCGAAGTATAGTGCTAGATCATTATTTTTTCTAAACATGAACAAAGGTTGTCTCCCTTCCCCCACAAAATTCCTCAGGACATGACGTCAATACATCAGGATAATACCAAATAACAGACACACGAGTGGGGCACATGGAAACAAAAGAAATTCATTATGAAACCTAAACAACATTCGACGTTTTTGATATCCGAAATGGGTCAAGGTTATCTATGTTTATAACCCTTCATTCCTGGAACCTACAAGCCAATAATAGTAAAGTGAAGCCTCAAAGCTACTCAGAAGATGTATTTGAATATATTTAAAACACTTGACCGTTGATATTATAGATGCAAGCCAAATTAATTGATTGAAACATTTATGTACATTACAAATATCATGAAATTAGGTTTGATGAATCATTAAAAAATGATTTGTTTGAACATTTTAACGTAATTGCATTTTTGTGACGCTGACAGCGGACATATATCTTATATATTAACAGAACATAATCGGTAACCATGTACCAGAAGGTTACAGAGCAGACATACTGACTCTTTGCAGCTCGAGTACATGTGTACAGAAGGAATAAGTTGTGGATTTAAACACGTTTAACACTTTGACCTTCAATTTCCTTTGAATTGATTTATTTGAAATTGATTGCCCTTCTCACCCGGAGCGATCCTGGACAACTTCATCAACTCTTACCTTCATACACGCAGGCATACACATATAGGGAAATATTAGCCAGGTAGCATATAACTAGTAGTTAGCGACTGATAAGGCAGCTCCTGCGAATTCCTCAAAATTGTTTTGATTTATGTATATGCTAATTGTATTGATTGTATAATTGTATATCCATGTTCTGTAAAGCGCTTTATAGTGGCTCATTCTAACTAGATAGGAATAGAATCTTCACTCTCACTCGCCCTCCTATCCCCTACCAGGTTTATGAAGACCTTGGACAATCTTAATCATCGCCATCATGATGTTACAAGGGAAGATTTTCCCCCTGAGTGTGATAAGAAGGTGGATAATTGTTATTATGCTCATTAGTGTGACTTGTGTTTTTTTTATAACATAATGCACTGTGTTATCCAGTGAATATTCACCCATGTAATAAGACCTATCAGCCCGGGGAAAAAGGCTGACGGAGACCGGGCTGGACGTGTCGTGCAACGCTCCGATACAATTACAAGTTCCCATGCATGGAAATCTTTCGAGTAAATTTTCAATCGACTTTTTATGTTGATAAGGATGTGGTAAACTGTTTTGATAATCAAAAAAGGTTTAAGGACTGTGAAATTTCATGCATTATGAAGGAATCTTTACCAGCGGGAGTACGTCATGTGTAATGGCCGGTAGTTAGTGAGTACAGTTGAGCGAGCGCACGGACAGGTAACATATACATGTAACTCATTTGTATATGAATCGTGGCTATAAGAAACTGTCGATAGTGTTCAGTGTGTGGGTGATTGTGAAATGTTTCTCTATATTACCAAACTTTCGAGATGTCTTCCGGTAAAAACTCTTCAAAGCAACAATGGAATAGTAGTGTGAGGTCAAGAGTGAGCGATGAAAGCGCGGGAAAAGACAGAAATTTAAATGAGAAGTTAGACGAGATATACGCCATGCTCTCTACGCTCATTACTAAAAGGGATATGGACTCAAAATTGTTGTCACTGAAGGAAGCCATTACGACAGAAAACAAAGAACTCATAGACAAATTAGAATGGCGAATTTTTGACCTTGAGGAGGAAAACGAAGGTTTGAAAGTAACGGTCACCAGGCTAGAACAAAAAATATCAGTACTGGAGGATCGCGAGAAAATACTGAATCAGACACAAAACGATCTGGAACAACAAGGCAGAAAGAATTCTATCAGAATCATCGGGCTGGAGGATCCAGACAGGCATGAGAAGGTGGAGGATTGCGTGAAGAAAGTAGTGGAGTTCCTGGGGACCAAGCTAAATGTGTCGGTTACGGAGAGTGACATTGACATTGCGCACAGGCTTGGCACCTATCAACAGAATAAGCCTAGAACAGTTATTTATAATATAATATTATGGTTATACACCAAAATGTATAACTCGAAATAAGGGTGGGGGAGAAGACGAATTGTATTAACTTTATCCCTATCAAATAATTCCTAACTTAATTGTTATTTAGAGTGTCTAAAATAAGCAAATATTAACTTCTGTTTACAGAAATACATTTTTATCACAGTCTCTAATCATGAAGAAATTCGGGACTTTTTGTTTCCACCATGTAGACAATTGAACAGAGAGACGTACAGTACAGTTCTCAAAGTGTAACACGTGTACAAACTTACTCGAGACTTTATACAAACTAAATCAACGACATACTTATTTGATAAACGTGTGAAAAGGGTATTGTATAAATGGGAAATTTACAATGCGAATTTTGTGAACACTTCGGGGAGCTTACGAGTAGTCAGGCGGTAATTAGCCACACTGCATTTCTTTTGCGACTTTGTCATCCAGTCTTTGGAACAGCAGGCTTTAATTGTTGACCATTTCTTGTTCCGAAAACAACTTCGTAATCCGAAATCCAGTTAAATTCGCCCAATATACTCTGTATTCTTCCTTTTCTCCATTTTGTTTTTATGTTTACCGACAACAACGTGGTTTCCCGCATTGAAGAGTTCCTATAAATACCGTAAATACGCAATTCGGCGCGCGCATGTGCTTGACAACGAATAATCTTTCTAATAGCGTAGCCTTTGTCACTGTATCTGATAATTGAGGTTCGTAATTCTGGAGATAAGCGTGAGATCTTCTGCAGTTCTACCATTTGCCTAAGTGAATTGATAAACTGCGTACGCATCCTAACCCAAAAAGACGGAGTAGACGATCGAACTAAACAGCCGGACGGAACAGCCGGACGGAGTAGCCGAACTAAACGACCCAATGAAATAATTGGACGATAGGGACGGTCGAAATAACCGAACGGAACGATTTAGCTGATACGAACGAAACAGACGAAACATACGAACGGTGCTCGAACGGTGAACGATCGCTTTCTAGACGCTAGACTACTGCTAACCGCACGCAAGCCGCACGCAGAACGAACTGAACCTAGGTGGATACTTGGGCGTAATTCTAACTGTTTGTAAGTTCACGCACAGACGTAAAAAAGCAGAGGTTATTCGAGCCAGGAGGATCCTGAAAGGACAAAGGTATTGTGTGTTTGAAGATCTGACCAGGATAAATCAGGAGAGACTGAAAGCGATATTCAATCTTGACTGTGTGAAACATTCATATAGTATAGATGGGAAACTGTTTGCCCAGCTAAAAGATGGAAAGAAAGAAGAATAACATATGACACTACCATATTAGACAGTTACCTGGGTGACGATTCAAATTTTCGGTAAAGGATTAACGTATGTGTTGGACTATTGACAAAGAACTCAAACAGGTCAGTGTAAAGAGACTTGCTGAATGTAATAATAATAATGTACATATTTCGTGCAATCTAGTATTGTGATGGCCAGATGAATCTACTTATAGAAAGTGTGTGCATAAATTGTAAAATATTATAGTTATAATGTTCATTAATTATATATATACTGTATAAGAATGTAGGAGTGTAAGGTATTAGCTTTACATTTGGTTGTTCCATTTATTGCTATTATTTGTGCATCCTAATTATAAGCAAAGTGTGCATAGAGTATCATAACGAAAGTATATTCTTTATAGAAATATAATTCCATGTTTTAGTTCATATAAACATGATATTCATGTACTAGATTTTAGAAAAAGAAAAAAATAATCCAAAAGGGGCTAATGCAAGTCTACATGAAAAAAATGCTCAAAAGTATGATGGCCAGGTTAATATAAGATACAAGTGTATCAACTCTATCACCATGAAGCTGGATTCTACATTCATTAGTTTTTTCGTGTATATTTTTCTTGTATATGTATATTGTATTCATGTAAAAATGTACAGAAAAAAATCAATCAAAAAAGGTTTATGTGAGTCTGTCTGATTTATTTATTTCCTAATCTCCAACGTAGCATGGATACAAGTGCTCAAATTGTATCACCACGAAATTGTATTTCATGTAAAATGTATATTATATATTATATATTTTTCATGTATGAATAGAAAAAAAATCAAAAGTTTATGCAAGTCTACCTGATGTAATTGTTGTTGTATATATATAAAAAAAAGTATATATATATATGTGTGTGTTTAAATGGTATATGGAATGGTAAATCGACGATACAAATGTGTGAAATGTATCAACTTAAAAATTCACCAATCCATTAATGTATTATTGTATTTTTATTGATAATGAAATTAAAGATTTACCAAGTCACTATGTTAATAGATGTTATGACATAATAGCATGTAATGATATTACACTAAACAGTATATTTGCCTGTAAAATAATAAGACATAAAAAATAATTATGTTTCTTTTCTGTTCTCATGTGTATGTGTATATCTCTGTATGTTGGTGAGTGTTTTCGGATTTACACAAGTCCCGTGTTTTTGTTTACTAGGTTGTTCGTAGAACTTCCGGTTTCTAATATATTTCCGGTAAGAATGAGAATGAAGATAACGTCAAGCTGGCCCGCGATAGTGGCCCGCAATAAGCTTTATCGTTTAGTTTAGCCTTGCGTAAATTACCGGATGTTGTCAGTCTAAGCAACATAAATTGCAGGTAGCTCTAGGTAATTTTGGGACGATTCAATTGAATAATACTGCAAACAAGGAAAAAAAAATCATGAACGTATACAACACATACGATTTTTTTGTTTAATTGCAATAACAGCGATTTTACATAACAGTTGTAAGCGTAAAACGTTCATTATTAGGCCTAACGCATATAGTATCTACCATTGTGTAAGTTCCAAATAAAATGTAAAGTAATAAATCATATATTTTCATGGCAAACAACTAAGAAACATGAACATGTAGGTAACATATACACTTGTAAGCTAGTAATCCGACACTAGTGTGTTATTAGATCAAGTGAAGAATAATTATATTATGTTAATTGTAATAATTTTGATTGATAAAATATGCATATGCACATCAATATATAAAAGCAACACCTTGTATATGGTGTTAATAGACATTCTAAACCAACACTGGAAAAAAAGTGGAGCATTCATCTATAGTCAAGTTCAGATCGAGGGTCTCTAGGTCAGTATTTATTTTAAGGAATCGAAGAAATCTTAATTTATGATCCTGCAGGTGCAAGCTTCTTCAAGTTTATACATGTACATACCTGGTTATCAAAATTAGCTAAGATTTGTGATTAAGTTGCAAAATTGACAAGATAATGAAAGTCAATATCTTGGCTTTCCAATTGAGGAATCTCCGCATTTACTTAACCCAGGTCTAAAAAACAACAGACAACAGGACTATGGTGGAGCCAAACCTGGAGTACAGTGAGTGCATACAGGACCAATAAAGAAAAACAATATATTGATATGGTCCAGCATCATGCTGTGAGATAAGCTTTTAACAGGTATCATAATGCCACCAGCATAACAGAAATCTTTAATAATCTTATATGGACATCACTGCAGACCTAACAAAGACATCACAGGATGACGATGATGTACTGCATGCATTAAGATGGCTTGGTTAACGTTGCAGTCAACAAAAAGAGGTACCTGACTCCACCTACCATGTACAACAACTGGACAACTGACTCTTTGCTATGACCTACTTTGTACCACTATTGTCAATTGATTACTAGCTACTGCATAAAATGGAGGGAGGAATATAGTGGAACTGGACTGGGTTGATTGTCAGCAATCAGGTAGCTGAAACTCCTTCTTTTTGAGATCCATCACGCAGTGGAACACTAAGACATATAGATCAAGATCGAGCACCATCCTTGAATTCCTTCAAGGATGCTCTGGAGAGAGCAACAGAGGACTAATAGGCTGCACTTATATACATGTAGGTTTTACCTATTTACCTAAACAAATAGCCTCCTTGCTTGTAAAACAAGTATTTCAAACCAGTAAGACAACCATTGAACTAGCTCCTGGTTTATACAGATATTATATCACTAGCACTTGGCTAACACAGGCAGTATAACACCTGACTTATACAGACATAAGTTTTAGCCCCAGGTTTATATAAACATTAGCACAAGCTTACAATAAACATAGTTTTGCAAAGTTAATAAAGTTTGTTTGTTCCGTAAAACACACAAATTATGTTTATAACCCAAAAAATTGTCGTGACTTTTACAAGAACTGTGTAATATATAGCTTAATATCTTGGGGTAGAGAATTTTGGAAATCTATTAATTACACCCCTAAATATAAAGTCCATGGAGGAACCCTGGATTAATTGCAGTCTAAAGGTCAACAGTCAACATTTTGCAGGCTCCATTATGTGCCTAACGGTGCCCCCATGGTAAATGTTTAGTAACAATGACCTTTATTCTGACCTCGGAACTGTATTACATAGTATGTAGATGTGCAATAGGGGTTCAAAAACTTTCTAATGTCTAGGCCAAATCATATGAAGAGGCCATGACGAATTCCAAAAACTGATTTTCGACCATTTCGGCATTGTATGTAAAGTATATCCACTATGTATCAATCTTATGATATCGACATAGTTATCCACATACAACTCAAGATATAGCCGATATTTTCTTGGCCTATCAAAGGCTGTGACGGCCATATTGAGTAGAAAAAATCAGAAGTTGGCAATTTGATGTAAAGGTTATCCCTTTTGTATGACAGAAACCTTTACTGTAATAGGGAACACTATTTTGGAAAATTTGTATGGACAAGGTTTTTAAATAAACATACATTCTGGATCTGTATCCTACTTCAAGTCAAAGTCATGAAGCATCAACATCGTCAGAATGTGTCCAGGTCATAATTTTTAGCTTTTTTTTTCATAAATTATTATCGAATCAGTTGTCTTTTCTGTATGTGCACAACACATGTATTGTTCTGTCTCAGTATGATTGTGCCACGTTATGACATATCCAAAACAAAATTTGGTAAGATATTTTATCATATGAAGATGTATTTATGCTTTTATGTAATTGTGAACTTAGTTCAAAGTCATGAAAATACCCTTGGTTTTAGAAAAACAATCCTTTGAACTGTGACTTAGATCCATGCAAAAGCTAGAATAATGGCCAGACACAATTTAAAAACAATGATTTTCCACAATCGCCAACTTGGGATTATGACCTAGGATCAAGGTCTTGACACACTTGGAGTCAAGGACAACGTGCATAAAGAAAACAATTATCTAATGTGCCTATTGCCCAACACTGTTTAGACCATAACTCTGTTTAGTATTTATCTACCAATATTTTGATCATAATTCTCCACATGAATGATACTCAGTAATTTTATCTTTGGTGAACTATGCACTAATTTTGAAATTGTCTGGGTTGTTAAAACTTTGTCATAAATGAAAACCTGGGTTTTATTTCCATTATAACATGGGGCTGGCATATTGCAGCCATTCAACAGTGTCAATATTTATATTTTCATGCAGTTTCTCCCCCCAGAACATTTGAATCTTTTACCTGCATGCAGAATTAGACTCAATTCTATTTTCGCTCATTATCCTACAATATACAAAATGCCTGAAATATACAAATGTATACTAAATGTTTGTTTCCCCATATTAACTTATGTTCACCATAGTCAGCTCTCAAAGTTGATCTTTGGCCTTTAGACAATATGTAAGAAAAAGATGTGCATAGCTGGTTTGTATGAGTATTGATATCATGGATGACTAGACCTGATGGATTTTGCGAATGATGTGGTTACATTTTTTTAACAGTTTTTATGACTCCTAGTGATCATGAAATCAAGAATCAATAACAAGGATTATTGAAAACTAAATATATGCTAAATGTCTAGCTCATCTGGCACAACATGCTTATGGTATGGTGTGGTGCTCATTGTCCATCATTGTAGCTCTATTCTTTTCAAAGTGCTGGCCCCTTGACCCCTAGCCTGATTGCAGCCATAACGCTAGATAGTAGAATTCTGAAAATATTTCAGGACCAAGTAGAGATATAAAGAGGCAAATTCTAACAATAGCATTTGATACAAAACATACAAGATGAAAGTGTTTTTTTATATATTTTATTATCATTCACACATCAGGATTTACATGTGTCAGAAATGGCGTGAAATTGTATTGTACTTCCAGCCTTTTAAGGAGAGAGTGTTTGTGTTATAAAAACATCTGGCGATATACACAGGCAAACATACAATATATAAAGAAATTGTAAAAAAAGGACAGGGTTCCTTGAAACAAGGTTTCCTTAAGAAATGCTGCAAATGAAACAGGAACATTAACAGTAA